TCCAAAAAAATACCATGAATCCCACTTCATATGCTTACTCTAACCATTTGCCTAAAGTTTTATATCTATCCTAACCCAGAACATACCATGAATCCCACTTCATATGCTTACTCTAACCATTTACCTAAAGTTTTATATCTATCCTAACCAGAACATACCATGAATCCCACTTCATATGCTTACTCTAACCATAGTGTTGCCTCAAATTATTTTGGCTTTTTAAAGCCAAGCTGAAGACTTTGATTTAAGCAAACCTGAACAAAAATATATTTATACATACATATATTATTCCCATATACTGTAATTTATTGTGTCTGCAGCAAAAACTATTAGTATTACAATAATACTAAATAAGCAAAGAATAATAGTAACACACTGGCTAACTCATCCCATACCCGACATGGACTGATAACCAGACGAGAGGCCGCGGTTCGCCATATTATGATTGAGTCGTCCTATCGTTTTTTCTCTCCCCCAAGATAAATATGTTAATCCTATATTATCACACGGAAATACATTGTAAAAATTCCTTCCCAAAACGATTAAATCCCTCCCAAGTCGGGGAACACTGTTCTGGTCTATCTTCTGCTCAATCCCATTTCCTGCAATTATGAAAAATAAATCATATTCTATACCTATATTCTATACCAGGGTGGTCCAAGGTTGTGGGCTCCGCGGGCCACAAAATTATTTTGGCATTGGTCGCAGGCCACAATAGTATCAAGAATAGCTAAACAGTGCAATACAAAACAAGCACTTCTATTGTGTAAACACATAGGTATCAGGCATTGCCAACCTGGGCTAATGGAATCCGTATCCGATGTTTGGTTTTCTATCATGCCCATATTGTTAGCATATATTCCCGATCAAAACTATAGAAATCCAGGTAACAATTTAGACTGCCCATCACATCTTCAACTTCGCTAGTTGCTTCAGCTAGCCATCATACTAGTCAATTCAGTCACAGTAGTCACTTCATAACAACAATGTGTCAAACGATTTTTCTGATTTATTTTATGAGAAGCAATTTAAAATATCATATTTTGATTACTCTCCGAATGCGCCGCGGGCCACAGATAATGGAGCGGCCGGCCACATGTGGCCCGCGGGCCTGGATTTGGACCACCCTGTTCTATACGATACTTCTTCTCAGTCAAAATTAGTTTTGATAATGATAAAAATCGCGGGTATACATACAAGTGTTCATAAAGTCCGTTTACGATTTCAATTTCCTTATGAAGTCAGTCCTCAATCTATCTTAACCAGGTTTGCTGTTTTTTAATCAGTAATTGTTGAAGTATATTTACTTCGTTTAATACATCTGTAGTAAAGGCCAAAACAATATATGGTATCGATAATTCACTTTGTAATTTTAAACATTTTACAACACACTATTTATATTTTCGTTATCTAATTTATTGAATCTCTTATGACTAACAGCTTAGCAAATCTCTTACTTGGTCGTGGTTCGCTTTACGATCCAAACGACTAATCCCACTGCCTTTGCTAGAAAGAATACAAAAAACCAATCCTATTTATACATTTTACGTTTTATTCTCACCACAAAACTTTTGCTAATGATAATATACCCGCATATTAGTAAATATGTGTCATTGTTAGGCAGACATTTTTCTGTTGCTAACTCTAGACGATCGCTTCGCTTTACGATCGAGGCGACTAATCCTACTGCCTTTGCTAGAAAGAATACAAAAAATCCATCTTGTATATACAAAATACGTTTTTCCTCACCACAAAAATTTTGCTAATGATAATATGCCCGCATGTTAGTAAATATGAGACATTGTTAGGCAGACGTTTTCCTATTTCTAACGCCAGACGGTATTTTCTCCCATATACGTCATTAATTTAGATATGGCTCGTCAGGACGAGAGACAAATAAATATCAACACAGACTGCCATCAGAATAATCGTGATTGAAATTTATCCAAATTATCATTTGTGAATCAACGCCAAATTATTTTTTTTAAATCCGTATGTACTTGAAATTCCACCGAATATTGAATTCAAATTAAGTTCGAAAATACCACGCATCAAAATGAGACACTAAATTATTTCAAGCCATGAATTTTTTCATTATTCAGAATTACGAAACATATCTTTTAAACTTCATGTATAAAACAAGCTTAAAGAAATTCTGATAATAAGTGTCTGTTTTTTCAAAACTTTAATGCCAAATCTAATCTAAGTTAAATTGCACGGTAAAATGTCTTTCACTCGTAACATAGTTTTCCACAGGAAGCCATTGATATATTAGGAGCATTATTTTGAAAGGACAAGAAACTTCAATCTATCCTCTCGTGCATTGCCAGCTCAATATATTAAACGCCGGATGAGGGGGTTGGGAAATAGCTGGGAAATAGTTGGGAAATAGTTAGCTTCGCACCATTGGCTTATCAGCCAAGCACATGAACCAAATGTCTGAATCTGCGGTTCCTCTCGTACTGAGCAGAATTACTATCGCAACAACACTACATCAGTAGGGTAAAACTAACCTGTCTCACGACGGTCTAAACCCAGCTCACGTTCCCTATTAGTGGGTGAACAATCCAACGCTTGGTGAATTCTGCTTCACAATGATAGGAAGAGCCGACATCGAAGGACTCTATACTCTATACATTTTCCATACTCAGATTATCGAAATCGATGTTAATGTCCTGACAGAAATCTCGAAAAACCATTCGGTTATTAGTAAGACATTCGCAAAAAAAAGCAAACGTAGTGCGGTCAAAATACGTAGTTTACTGGTGCTAGTAATTGAACACTTGTGAACAACAAAATCAAATTTCTTTGAAAATGCACTGATGGTCTGTGCTTTTAACCAATGAAAATCTGCGAGTAAGCTTTCCTATAAATACGCAATTGGCGTATTTAACTGGTGCTTGTAAGGGTTCTAAAAAAACTCTCCGCAGGATATTTCGCCGTAGGAAATATCACCGTATGAAAAATCGCCTTATTTAAAAACGATTCGTTATTTAAGAGCATACGCTGAGCTCAACTCCATAAACCTAACTGTTTTAATCACAAATACTTGTTTTACAGCAAAATCCTCTTGCGAAATTTCCTATGCGACGAGATTTCCCATGGCGAATTTTCCGGACACGCTTGTAGGTGAGTGCTTTAAATCAATAACATAAAGTTTCTCTCAGCCCTTGTTAAAATTAACCGTCATCCTGTTTATAACTTTTACTAGAACCGAGTTACGCATGATATTGCCTATATTAATTCAAATTTGATACAAATGCAATTGTGCGCGTCTTAGCAGAAAAATTTAACTCCAAACATACGACGGCACTTATGCTGCCAATAATACCTCATTATTCTATAGGTAAAATACCATATATTTCGACTAATAGAGTATTACTCCAGACATTAATAGATCCTCCACATAACTGAAACTAAGCCATATGTCCAAGCCATAGCGAAACTACGCAGTGACAAAATGACAACATACATAGTCGGCTGTCGTCTGCTGAACTAAATGCTACTGTGTGACGACAAAATCGGTTGTCGTCTGCTGAAAAATTATTATATGACGAAATAATACACTGTCGTCTGCAGTACAAACTATAATATGACGACATAATCAGCTGTCGTCTACTAAAAGAACTATTTTGTGACAAAAAAATATAATGAATAAAGCCTTTTCAACGCAATATACAACAAATCTGAAACCTCGTAACTTATGATAGAAGACGGTACAATTGAACACACAACTAATTCCTGCCTACATCGACCTCACAGTAAGCGAGGAAACATACCTCTAAACATATTGTGACGCATGAAACGAAATAACTGCCTTCAGAGATCGGTTACAGTGCGTATAGTACTCATACACTACCAATATTAACCCGGATACTACAATACCGATATTTATCGCAGAAAAACGAACGAAAGTAGCGGGAGGGTTAACGTCGTTTTCATTCAGTCTTCCGTGTTTTAATGACGTAATATTTATGTGAGCAACTATGGTGGCCTGATCGTTGTTGGTTAAAGTTAACGAATATTTCAAAATTGGCCAAAAAATGGACACCAGATTCAACACAAAGACGCTATAGGCATAAATGCAATTTTGCGGCATTACAGTGAGACATAGATTCATACGTCTCTTCCAACACCATTTTGCTCTATTTTTGAGCGATTTACGTTTTCTGGGGTGCAATCTTTTCACCATATGAACCAAACGATGAAATTACGCGCTTATATGCCTTGGAAAGTCTGTAGAGTGATTCTTTAAGTATTGGCAGATATCAATGGCGACTTCTATCCGGCTTTGTTCGGATCAAAAAGCACGAGTGAGTGTCGTATTACGTTATTATACAAAACAAATTGCATTGAAACGTACACCAAAAGATGACAACTGGTTCATAATGATAAAAGCTAATGATGAAAAAATTCATTTCTAAAAATTGTGACATAAGCTACTTTCGTTTTACTGCGCGATTTAGTTAAATACCTGCAACAATTGATTAAGGGATGGTCATAGATCGGTAATCTAGAATTCTTCTTCGCAATTAACTCAATTCCAAAATTATGAATGGATGGATTTATACCAAATTACAACACACAGGGCGGCGCAAGGGTCATTTAAGATGTTTGATATTTTAGCTTTTAGAGTCTAAATAGATTCCCCCAATCCCACTTCATATGACCCTAGAATTACACATTGCTAAGTGCTAGTCTGGGGGAGAGGGGAGCTTCATACGATACATACGGTATTCTGCATCGGCTGGACTCGGTACCCAAATAAGACGAACGCTCGTTATGGACAAGTAGTCCACTCGTTTACCTATATGAACACATGAGGATATTTCTAGTTAGGTGTTTAGTATTTGACACACAGCGCGGTGTGTTAGCGTTTAATTGAAAGCAAAACAGATAGGCCACTGAGTTTTGTACACGTCGTCACCCTCGTTCCCGCGTATCCATGTGATCATTTTTCCGGAAATTTAAAACAAAATTACAAATATAAAGATATTTACTCCAAACTCTTCCGTATCATGATCTGAGTGTGAGTCATACGAACTCCATGTTCTTTCTTGTGAGCGAGGCAAGTCATCAGATTTGACCAACTTGTCTGGTTTCTGTTCCTACCCCCAAGTGCTCTGGGTAACGGAAAATTGCCATAGCAACCAGGATCCTGCATCGAGGCTACTGACGCTATTGAAGGAGTCGTGGACGCCACGAGGGTGCTCACTGAAGTGCGGCCTGGGAGCAGGCGCGGTGGGGCACTCAGTGTTCTGTAGGTCGAAGGGAAAGTGACCGCGCTCCTTCGCCTTTGTAAACGACTTTTCCTTTCTTCCATACTTCTGTTTATAATCAGGGGGTTACTGTTGCTTCTCTGGTATGACGTCACTTCTTCGTTTTCGTGGATGACGTCATCAATAGCTATAATGTCACTGTTTGATGAGTTTCTTGATTTTGGTCGCCTTCGAGAAGGGGGTCGAGTCGTCCGGGGCTGCCCCCTCCCACTTGCTCTTGAAGAAATTGAAGAATGAGAACTTGTTGGGGATTTTGAACTGTGTCTCGATTTATGTCGCGTATATCGGTGATTTTGAAAATTTTTGCGCGCCTTCGCCACTCGGGTGGACGATTCGTCACTCATAAAAGCATTGTCGTCATCTGTGGACTCTGGGATATTTATTCCGTATCGAGCCAGTGACTCAACACTGCCATCTCCCGACGATAAATTTTGCATTTTCAGCAGAGTGTTTTTATTTCTTTGATTTTTCCTATTCAAGATAATCTCATCATCATTATCTTCGTCATTGTCAATTGCTACGTCATATCCATATCGATCAAATGCATTGTTATTAGGATCTGACATTGCGATTCACAGTGACATTCAAAGTATGAGTAAACATTACTAAAACATATCATACTCTATAGACTCGACAGAACGGGCTGAATATTGGCTGTGAGATATAAGAGACACGTTATAAAAAGTAATGCAACTAACAAAAGCAAACACGTACCAAAAAGATGGGAATTTTCATTTAATTATAATACAAAAATACTCTATTCTCCCACAAAATTTGTAGTTGTGGTTGTACGATTTAAACCACTCAGGGCGAGTATTACCCGGATTATATCCAGAAGCAAATTCATTTGTACTCTTTTACAATAATACTGTTGTTAGAAAAAACATTGTGCAACATACCGATGATTTCATCCAATCTCTAGAACATCTAGAACTTCATCGAAATATAGATAAAACTGAAATCACTAGAGACTTGTTCATGGCAATCCCATGGCCAAGTCTGGCTTAAAAGGTAAGTATCACAAGTATCAATGACATGGCAAAGCACGATAATTACTCTCCTACACAACCGAACCAAACTCCCATCTCTATCCTACACAAATATACAAAGTTTATTAATAATCAAAAATCATTTCTTTCGTAACCTTCTCGTAGGCTTTCCTCTCCATCAGGATAAATATATAAATCCTATTCTAAGCCATGTTTAGTGATAGAAATAGTCAATTTATACCGCACAAATTAAGTGATTTTCTCAATTTTCCAACTTGACATTACATCTGTCACGAGGGGCACTTGAATGCAATTGAACTTCAAATGTCAACTTTAATTTCCCACGTCAACGAGTGGAAAAGTTTACACGACAGAAAATATTTGAATTTAACAACGATATTCGTCTGCACATAACCAGATGACCTCGTTATCTGAATCAGAGCAATTCAAGAAAATTCACAATCGACGCATCAGTCGTTTATCTTTTCATCGTACTGGAAATACGCATTATGCATACCGAATGTCATACTGCATTTTGGGGTAAAGGGAAACGCAATAACCCTTTCCTAGGTATCGAAAAGCGGCGCCTATGAAGAAGTCTAACAATAAATCATACTAGGAAAAAGGTTGAACACAACATAAAACCCGAAAAAAAATTAAGCCTCCGACTTGGGATTGTAAACATTTTCGAAGTCGTACCAACGTCCAAACTCGAGAAAATCAAATAGACAGAAAATATTTGAATTTAACAACGATATTTGCCTGCTCATGACTTCGTTATCTGAATCATACCAATTCAAGAAAATTCGCAATCGACTCATCAGTCGTTTATATTTTCACCATACCGAAAATACGCATTGTGCATGCAGAATGAAAACAGAAATTCCCATCCAAGGTGAAGGGGATAAAATAAACTAACGTTTGCCAACATAAGATGAATTTCTCCCCATGGAAAATTTTTGTCGCTCAGGGGGGTGATTGGTTAGAACTATTACTTGGATTTTAATTGTAACCGCGTCAGTATGGTGTTGTGAATGTGGTTCATTTCAATAGCTAACAAAAATTGAATATTTCTTTGGTGTATAATGACTTTGCTAACTAATCGAGGGGATTTTGCTTCAGCTTTGTATTTGCTGTAGTATTATTAACATTCTTTAGTTTTTTATTATTACTGTGATACTTATTTATGCACATATAATATTCTACTTGAACTGTGTAAAAGCCGGAGCGCGACTCGTGAATGACACTAGCACACTAACATGTAAGAATCCATTAATTAGGGAACAAATAAAGTGGTTTCATGGATAGTGAGGGAGGAACTTATGATTCCAAAATTTACGAAGGGAGGAATTTAACAAAATGATTGGGAGCATCTGATATTGGTTATACAGTAGCGACACCTGCGCGACAGTCTTACAGTGAATAATAGAACACAAAATAATAATACCAAATTGACCTATGAATACGTTTTACGCCTCCCTGTACATACCAGTCGTCAGGGACATACCCAGGGGGTGGGTTGTACCCCTCCGCCCTTTTTGTAACGTATAAAAGACATTTTTATGCATAATTCATAGCAATTTTTTGTAACTTGAACCGTTTTTTTTATACCCTTAAGACCCCTTGAAAATCCGATGTTACGGTTTAACTTGTCAATTACAAATTCCAGATTACAGACCCCCCCTCCCCCCTCTTTCGAAAATTCCTGGCTACGCCCATGCCAGCCGTGCCTAATCACTACAACATCGCATGTCACATTTTAACTGCCTTTCTACTGATAACAACGCAACCCTCTGCAACCCCTGACTGCGCTGTCTCAAAAACATCAAAACTAAAGGTCACTCCCGTTATAGATAATTAGGTATCGATCGTTCGCCTGCAAATTTAACAATAAAAGATCCCTGAGTTTTACTGAAGAAAAAGGGTCTGCATTGTTTGGCTTAAATCCACGTTTACAACCAAGGACGAATTTGTTCTTCGCTTTTGTATTTGCTGTGGTATTACTAATATTCTTTATTTATTCATAATACTATATTACTTATTTATGAACACAACTAATTGAACTGTACAAAAGAGGATACGCCCGTAGTATGTGTACCAGGTTGGGTTATGGCATAATTTTATTCCGATTTTCCTTATTTTGATCTATTACGAATTCGTGGACTGTCTGTGTTAGTCAACTGAATATCCCCCTGCCCATAGGTTTCAGTCTCTTTACACAACTTGATGTAAAATATGCGAACAAAATTAGTTACCTCAATATTGGTACACACACTTCTGTAGTGCCCAAAAGAGGGAATGCGAGAATATGACACTAGATAAGGATCCATTAAAGATTAAATAAATAAAGTAGTTTTTATGAATAGTGAGGGAAAAATAAAAAGTTTGAAAATACGCGAAGGAATGAATATAACACAAAAAATGTTGGGACCACTGACTCAAACCAGCAAAACTATTCTGCGCGTAAATAACTGAGGGAAAGCGTGTACGCAGAGTTCGGCTTATTTAACTCAAAACCAAGCTTTTTTCGATATGACTATTTTAGAAATCTTCCTTCATCCGTCACCGTGTTTATAAACTTTAAAGTTGTGAATATCTAGAGTTGAATTCATATGCATACTACGTCACCCAAGGTGAAGATGAGGTAAACAATGTACAACTCAAAAAGTTCCAGCCTTTCCTCAAACAGCAGTACTTTGCGAAAGATTAATATTACACCCTTTATCTTGACGAATCCCCATCACCGTGTTAAAACTTATAAACTGTGTTTAAAAAAATAGCTAACTGACTGGCTAGGTATATTACACTTGCATAGGCTCAAGATATATTGTTAAATGCCAGATTTGAAAGAATATTCAATGTAATATTATCAAAAATACATAATGTGCGGAAGTGCGTAACCGCCAAAATACCCATTTATAATGTGATGGTGTGTATACCTGTTCCATGCGAATACAATGGATATAAACTGACTGACTAAATTCCCCTTATCAAACATGCACGCGTCATCACTCTCACTTTGTCCTATTTTATAGTTTACCCCATGGAAAATTCTAAAAGAAAATGTTACACTCGTAAGTTAGTCTATTCGTAGCATAATAAAGTACATTGTGCGGTACCTCCGTATTATGTGAACCAAGATGGCGGACACCAGGACGTAGTATGTGTACCAGGTTAGGGTTAGACCATAATTTCAGGTACAAATACTACGAGATTCACTTGGCTAGTCTCCGAACTCTTAAGAGAACTAACTAAAACAAGGATAATTAGAATAAAATTATGGTCTAACCCTAACCTGGTACACATACCACCCCATACTTCGGGAGTACCAAAAATTTAAAAAGAAAATGCTACCCTCTTAACAATCTATTTGTACAGAGAACATTGAAATATGCTATGCGGCAAACGATCTAAATTGGTCATGTTCTGGCTTGCGTCCCGAATTCACCCCGATTACAGGTTAAATTTATCGTTAGTTTAGAACCTTCATTGGAACCGCGTTTACCACGTATGATATCAGACGGCATCCTATTGTACCCTATTATCTGCTTCAGTATTGCATACTTTTGTCGAGATTAGATTCGTTTAATTATATTTTGTGTTTTCGAAATTCCTGATTGATATTCAAGATTCATCAGTCGCAGAATTAGTTTTAAAATTTTACAGGTTTGCAAACTAAAACGAGTTGAGAACTACCGCCCTAGAGGAAAAACCACCGACAATAAATTACTGCAATTGGAACTCTTAAATGACAAAGTGAAACAAATTTTATCGAAAAGCAAAAAAAGAAACGTTTATGATTGCATCGGATGTTTCGGCGGATAACATTCCAAATAGTTTTGCCGTTTAGAAGAGCCAGGATTTCTACATATACAACCATGTATGTGCTTATACAACCGAACATTTGCATATGCAGCCGAATATGCTCACACCCAGTCTAGTATGTCCATATCCAACTTGGTGCGTGCGTGCATATCCAGCCTAGCGAAACCATAACTGATCCAACAAGTACAAATATATTCCAGGAAAACACGTACATATACAACCCAGTAAGCTGATACAGACAATCTTTATTTATCGTAAGACCGATACGTACTTTGGTAATGCAGAATGCTAAAAACTCGCTTAAATTCGAATATTACGAAAATCTGATATGTTAACTCAAAAGTATAATTCATTATAGTTTCAATAGTTGGCATTTCCTTTGTTCGCAATAACTTTGCTTCTCCTTCACTTCTGAATGAGTTCTCATGACTTTGCATTGAGCAAATTTTATTATAAAAATGTTAGCGAAGCCACAAATCCCCAGAGAATTATTCAGTTTCTGTCAGTCCGTGAAATGAACCACATTCACAATACCACATTGGCGCAGTTACCGTTCACGCCGCAGTGACAGGTTATGTTCATTTTTTGTTTTTGTTTCAGACGGGCATTGCAGCTAACGAATAGCACTATATTTGGCGTTTCGAAATATATTTATATCAGATCTATGTGAAGCATAGCTTTCCCAGTGACATATTGCCACACCCTTAATTATTATGGTTATGTGAGAATGTTATTTTAGTTTGGTAAGGATTCTGTGGGTTCGCGGGAATGCGTTGAGGTGATAACAGCGAACCCGTTCTTATTTTATGTTTTCGACTATCACAGAAAAATAGGA